GGGAGCAGCAGCAGTGGTAGCAGTGCTTCCAGGCCCCCCGCCAATGCTCGAGAGCTGGCAGAGGCACGAGCCGCGAAGTTCGGTGGTCCGAACGGGCCCACGGCGTCCTCTTCGAACGAAAACGAGGAGGAGACGGCCACGTTACTCCGGCGGTAGGACATAGCGAGGTTGTTCTGTAGAGAAATACTGAAATCGAAACCCTTGAGAGGTCTCTCTGGAAGACCGCAGTCGTCGGGATTGAAATGTAGTTTTTCCCGTTCGTGTTCCAATCGTGTTCTTTTGCCGTCTTTCTCTCCATGCGCTTACATATATGGGATTACAAAGCTGCGCGCTGTACCTGTTGGAACCGATTCTACTCACGATTCCTTTTGTATCATATTATTTCACAAGAGTTCATGGCATTCATAAGGTGACATTTATTCTTCTTCAGAATTCCCTGTCATCCAAAAATGAGGAATGTAATGTTTCTACAGACACACACGTAGCAGAAGAGATTGCAAGCCTCTTATCTGTTTCAACTACCGCTTACTTACATGTACAGTAGGTCAAAATGCATAAGGCTGTATATGCAGAGTACACGAGGAAAGCAGCGACGCTTCGCTCGCGAAAGTATCCGGCATTATGGGCCACTATGTTCTTCTTTTCATATGAAAGAAATGTATTACATAGAGCAAAAACCAATTCTGTTCAGGCTCTGACATCGTAGCTTGGGTTTCGACGACTTACTTGGCGGGTGGAAAGCATGAACATACAGATGATAGCGATGCTCATGATCGGGCCGGTCTTTTTGACCTTGTGGAGGTTTTCAGCATGTACTCACGCGTCTTCCCAGAAAAAAACGAGTGATTTCAAATATTTTTGGGCTATTTGACGTCCACAATTGTTAGTCGTCCATTAAACAAAGCGTAGATTGACGAAGCACGAAATTTCTGGGACCGAATCTTCCTCCTAGCACGTAAAATTCGAGAAAAGAAATGCCGAGCATAAAGCATATCCTGGAATCCGTTGAGGATAGGCCAAAAGCAGCAGGCATTGAGAGGGCCCGCCAGCGACTTCCTCTATGCTCACAAATGCTTCAAATGCTTTTCCTCTTCAAGGGACTTTCTATGTAAGGAAAGTCTGGTGCTGTGACGAATAATTACGTACGGTGAAAAAAACATGGATGACACCCCCCAAATTGAATTGTAACGGACCTTCTTTCTATGTTATTGCAATGCATATGCGAAAAACTATAAGTTATCATCATTTGGGTCTTAAAATATTAGAGTACTAGCCCCTTAACCTCAATCCTCAGTCGTCAATGACCCTTTTCTGTTCCTTTACTCGTCAAATCAATCCCTGAGCAGACAACTGCCCCTTGCTCCAATGCATCGCTTGCAACTCTGCATCCTTTTTATCCTTCCATTCGCCACCTTTGCTGCCTTCACCAAACAAAAGTACACCGGTGGCCTTTTCTCGGACCCAACCCAGAAGCCTCAGCCCTCCGTGGCGGTAAATGCCTGGAGCTACTACCCCAACACCTTTGGAACGTGCAACGGGACTACCTTCGACAGCTGCCCGTGCGGTGCAGGCACTGCCGAGCCCTGTGGGCCCTTGAACTGGCCATACATCAGTGCTGCTTGCTTTCAGACGTGCTTGCCGGGGAACGGTGGAGGCCAGCAGTCTCCCATCAACCTGGACGCCTTTGAGGAGGGCTATGAGGGCTTGGGCAAGGCTCGAGGTCGGATGAAGTTCTCGGGAGGACGGTGTGCAGGGCTAATAAAAAAGGGGCTCAGTACCTATGAGGTGGTATTCTTTGGGGATGCTTGCCGGAAACCTTTCACGCTTACTGTCGACGGGCAGGTATGGGTGCTGTGGCAGATCCATCTACATGGCCCTTCCGAGCACTCAGTAAACGGGATATATAGCCCTGTTGAAGCTCATATGGTTCATTTGCCTGTAGGCAAGACGCCAACCACGGCCGATACCAACGCGTTAGTCTTAGCCGTGTTCTTGAGGCCCGGGAAGGCCAACAGGCTCTTCAACATCCTGACTGCTCGGCATGCGGACGAAGGGACGGTGCCTGGTGGGAAGCAAGTGCGCATGGTCAAGGCCGGCAATCCCTACTGGTTGCTGCCGAAACGAAAGGACTATTGGCACTACCAAGGCTCCCTTACAACCGTATCGTACGGGGGATGTCAGCTCAATCCCGGCCTCAGCTTCAACAGCACGATAAACAATGTCCAGTGGTACGTGTTCAAGCATCAACAGACAGCAAGCGCCTCCCAGATAGCATGGCTCACGGACTATCTCTGTGGCTTGCCTCTGCCCTATCTGTGCACGAGCAATCGTCCCTTGCAAGAGATACTGCCCGAGACCCAGGTTTATTCATATGGCAAGGTGCTCAAATAGGAAGCGCCCTGTAACTACGCGGCTATCGAAATATTATCTGACATTTCTTAGTACAGTTTTCAAAAACCTTTATTTCTTCTTGATAACCCTGAACGATTGCGTCCTTTGGGGGCGAAAATGACTTGCGGAATATGACCTGCATCCTCCTAAGCTGCTCTTATTTGATGAGAGATCTAGCCTGAGGTGCAGAGGTCTTACATCTGAATCATTTTCTGATCATGAGATCTTACATCTTGTTGGCTTCATTTTACCTTGTTGATGAAAAAGTGTCTACGTATCATTTGATAATGGGCAGGTTTCTCTCCAAAATGTCATGCAACGGTTCACATCCCTCGTCGCCTCATGTGTAAACTCACTCGCGTACTATGCAACAAACGTATGGGAGTCTCAAAAAAGTTGCTTGGTTTAAAAGGGTAGGACATATGAATCCATCGTGAACATTTTAGCCTTGTCTTTTGTATTTTGAATAGCAGCAGAAATGCCATCAGACTGAATATTTAAAGTTCTAGGCATATAGAACCCCAACATCTGTCCTCTTTGCCTTTGAAAAGAAAATTTTACGTAAAAGGCCAGAGGCCAAATTAAAATTTCTTAAATTTAAGAAAAGAAAATATTTTTCTTGAGCCAGAAAATTTTTCTGGGGTATGGCCAGGGGATGAAGAAAAATTATTTTCAATTCAATAGAAGGAGACATTCTTTTAAGAGGATTTTTTTTTCTTTTCTTTACTATTGCATGAATTTCTTCGCAAAGGAAAAAAAGTTTTCTTGGAATAATTTTCCTTTTCTTTTCTTCGCCGTTTCCTTATATCTGGGGCCGCTTTCTAGCCGTTACACAGGTGTTCAAGCGATACGTGAACATGCTCCTTCGGCAGCGAGCTGATCATCCACCTGGACGCGATAAAGGAGCAAAGGCGAATGAGTTTGCGAAATTTGCACTCACTTAGCCGACTTCTTTGTGAGAGTCTGTCATGTATGGCGAAGACGGATCGAACTGCCAGTAGAGAGACCGCCTTTCCAATCAGAAAGCACAGGAAACCTAATGCGCACTGCTCGCAAGAAGACAAGATGTTCACTCATCTTTCACTCATTGCCGACATTCATTCCATATCCATCACTACTTAGTATATACAAGACGGCTTCGTCCTTGTCAGTCACTTCAGATTGCATGCGCTTCCTTATTATCCTTTTTATCCTTCCATTCGCCACCTTTGCTGCCTTCACCAAACAAAAGTACACCGGTGGCCTTTTCTCGGACCCAACCCAGAAGCCTCAGCCCTCCGTGGCGGTAAATGCCTGGAGCTACTACCCCAACACCTTTGGAACGTGCAACGGGACTACCTTCGACAGCTGCCCGTGCGGTGCAGGCACTGCCGAGCCCTGTGGGCCCTTGAACTGGCCATACATCAGTGCTGCTTGCTTTCAGACGTGCTTGCCGGGGAACGGTGGAGGCCAGCAGTCTCCCATCAACCTGGACGCCTTTGAGGAGGGCTATGAGGGCTTGGGCAAGGCTCGAGGTCGGATGAAGTTCTCGGGAGGACGGTGTGCAGGGCTCGTGGAACAGAACAATCTTACTTACGAGGTCAGCTTTTTCGGGAGCGCATGCCGGAAACCTTTCACGCTTACTGTCGACGGGCAGGTATGGGTGCTGTGGCAAATACATTTCCACGGCACATCTCTACATTCGGTAAATGGTCGTTATAGCCCTATTGAGGTGCATATGGCACATTTGCCTGTAGGCAAGACGCCAACCACGGCCGATACCAATGCGTTGGTCTTAGCTGTGTTCTTGAGGCCCGGGAAGGCCAACAGGCTCTTCAACATCCTGACTGCTCGGCGTGCCGACGAAGGGACGGTGCCTGGTGGGGAGGAAGTGCGCATGGTCAAGGCCGGCAATCCCTACTGGTTGCTGCCGAAACGAAAGGACTATTGGCACTATCAAGGCTCTCTTGGCACTCCATCTTTCTTTGGTGCATGTCAGCTCAATCCCGGCCCGAGCTTCAACAGCACGATAAACAATGTCCAGTGGTACGTGTTCAAGCATCAGCAGACGGCAAGCACGTCCCAGATAGCTTGGTACGCAGATTACGCTTGTGACTTGCCTCTGCCATATTTATGCAGGAACAACCGTCCGCTGCAAGAGATTCTGCCCGAGACCCAGGTCTATTCATATGGCAGGGTGCTCAAATAGAAAAGCGCGCCCTGTAGCTGTTAGGGTCCGGAGGTTTCAGCGGGAGGAAAAGCATCTGTTATTGACCGATTAAGAGAGGTCCTGTCGCCATATTGCAGAATCCTTAATCGACATGCTGCGTCCCTGTGATGATGAATGAGGGCGTTATGCGTTGGGCTGATACGGCAGCCCGGTAATGTAGATGTTATAATAGCAAGCGAGAAAGCATTTGACGCTCGAAGAAAAAAAAAGCGAAGAAATTTACAGCAGCGACAGCACTGGTGATGACATAGATATCGTAGGAAGAATTAATGAAAAGGACTGAAACGTGAATTTACTGTCACCCTGGTTGGCTGTCTTCCTTTTGTGCGAAGGCAGCCAGCTTGCTTCATGCGATGAGGGTATCATTACCACATCTTCGAATTTCTCGCCTTGTCTGGCAATGCCTCCCCATCCTTGTCAGGCCACTTCCTCAATCTAGATCTTGGAGTCCCTTGTAGATCAATCGCCTTTAGCCTTGCTGATAATTATTCTTTCTCCACGTCCTTCTCCCATCATCCCTCGAAGAAATGCTTTATAAATGTCGCCTGGCACGCGTCAAGCCACGCCACTAAATTCAAAAAAGGAGCAGAGCTAAGTATTTTGTAGCGAGTCCTCGCATGACCCAAAACAAACCCGGTTCCAAGTCTTATGGGGGTAGAGCGACAAGATTAGGATTTACGACTGGCAAACACCGACATCATCTGCTGTGTCTCCCGGCCTCGTCACCACCCGAAGCTAAGCAGGAAATGAGCAGTCGGTTGTGATATATCTGCATACGTCGAGAGGCAAGTTGCTTGCATTCGATGTTTGTTGTAGATGTTTTGAAGGGCCCAGTCTACTGGCAAGAGAGCAGTACGACGGGCACATTCTGCCAGCGGGAGAGCAAGGATGATGGGGCTTTACGCGTCCTGTTCATCACACACCAGGCGGTCTGGATTACACGAGTAGCCATCAAGGTGGCGCGGGCGGGTGATTACGCGGCGAGATTACGGTCGGGAAGTTTTGAGGAACTAAAGGCTTTGTTATCAGAGGGGGTGCCGGTTGGAAGTTCCTGACCTGGTCGCACCAGAGGCTTGAATGCGAAGGATGGAGAGAAAAGGAGGGGAGCCAAGGGCTACGATCCACCTAGTCACTTGAGAACTATGCATAGTTTAATTAAATGCTTAGTGGATGGGGCGGGAAGTGTTAGATAAAGCCTTTGAAAGTCTTGGAGGGAATGGGTGGGATTTAAGAATAGCAGATAGGATTGACGGGTTAAGTTTACGCGATTTTTGAAGGAACCGGAAGCGAAGAGCAATAAAGTGGCCCAGGTATCTTCGAAAACTGTGAGCTAGATGTGAACTGCAAATCAGTGGGAGTGTAGATCGGTAAGGGAACTATCTCCGTCGTCAGACTTTGTGCGTGTGTGTGTGTAGTGGGTGTGCGTGTGTCAGGGTCAGGGTAGAGAGTACATGGAGCACATGAGCAGAGCCAAAAACACGATCAGGAAGGATATAAATCAGCCGTGCACGAAAGTAACCCAAGGTAATAAGTCGTACACCCAGAAATGATAGGGGTAGGACACATGCCCTTGTTACCTTCTTTTTCCTTTCTATATTTTCTCCCTCCCCCTTTAATCCATCCTATTTGTCGTTATCTTTCTTTTTCTTGCCCATATCTCTCTTCTTCAGCAAGGCTTCTCTCCCCTACAGTCTACATGGTGATGTAAGGAAAAGACTTAATATATGTGCCCGAGAAGACTATCAATATACATATATATGTGCCCTTGTTACCTTCTTTTCCCCTGAAGAATCATCCGCTGAAAGAGAGGTGAAGGAAGGTCCCATCCTGATTATTAATTAATTTGATTAAATTTATCATGCGGATTTCTTTGGAATGCTTACGACTGAATCCAAAGCTTTCCAAACTCTCAAGTGGTGTGGATAACGAGTTACAGGGTTTTCAGAGCTACATCAGTGGTAAACGATCTCTAACCTCCCCAACGTAGCGAGCGAGCATAGAGCCCGCCCTGATTTATCTGGATTCGCCTCCAGCACTCGTACACCTCGTTCATGTACGCTGGCATATATGTTTTGATAGTAACGTGTAGTAAGTTAGCCTTGAAGTGCAAATCTGAGAAGCCATCCTCCGCTCACTCCATTATATCGAACACTGCACAAATCGCATCATTTTCTTCACACTGCAAGCTCAGTCCTGTCACACATAACTTAGATTACAATATCCACCCAACCACAGGGCCTGCTCGTGCTTTAACATCCCAAATACGAGCGTGGAGGATATATTTCAGCTAATTCAATGTTGCGGACACTCAGGAAAAAAAAGAGGTTGACTTGGGGCGCTTGCGTGCGCTTCTAACTCAGAACAAGGTGAGTAGCAAGCCGAAATAGTAAAAATGGACCGGAGGCTTGTGTGTAGTACAAGAGCTTGCTCAACAGAGACTCATAGAGCGAATTTAGGACTCGTTTCGCTGAGCTTATGGGGCTAAAGCACCAACACCGTGTCACGCCACGGAGTATTCGACCCTGTCTCCTTTTGTTTCTGATACCTACCAGGCTCTCGTTCATGCAAAAGGAGGAATGGATGAGGAGACACCTTTGCACATAGCAGCTGCAGAGGTAAGGATTCGTCTTAGTGTACACGGGGATAGCTTGGCCTGGTGGGCAGAAGAAAGAATGCCCTGCGTGGTGATGAAGAGGACGACGAGACGCTTAGGATGGACGCCCAGTCCCCCGTGTGCCGGCCCGAATACACCTTCAGAGTTGAGGAAAGATTAATTTTGGGCTCTTTTCTCACCTACTATCCAGGGGTCCTCGAGGCCG